AGAGGGAGGAGCAGACTCCCCGCTGAGCAGGGAGCCCGATGCAGGACTCGATCCCGGGACTCCAGGATCATGACCTGAGCCGAAGGCAATTGCTTAACCAAATGAGTCACCCAGGTGCCCCCCAGAGAGCTTTTTAAAAATACAGAAGTCCAGGGACACCTGGGTAGCTCAGTCAGTTGGGTGTCCTGACTCTTGGTTTTGGCTCAGGTTATGGTCTCGGGGTGGTGGAATTGAGCCCTCTGTCAGGCCCTGTGCTCAGCATGGATTCTGCTTTTCCCTGTCCCCCCAGCCCTGGCTTCTACTCTCTCTCTTTCTCTCTAAAATAAATAAATAAATAAATAAATAAAATCTTAAAAAAATATATAGCAATCCAGGCTATAGCCTGAGATTCTGATTTAATTCATTTGGGGTGGGGCCCAATACTTTATATATCTTAACATTCATTCTAACATGCAGGCAGAGTAGAAAACCCCTGATATACATACTTTTTTGTTTTTGATTTATCATGTTAAATAATTTTTGTTTCTCCATTAGAAAAGCTGAGAGTATTTCTATAATCTGCCTTCATCCCTCCTCCTTTTTCTACCTCCAAATTATAATTATTCCATTATTTTCACGCATTTCAGTTTTATATGTTTTATGCCCTTATAGTCTATATTTTATATATAGATTGATTGTAAAAATTTAAAACTTTTCACCAGTATTTACAACTACCTGGCTATATAAATATATAAATCTCTGTTTTCATGGGCCTTGCTGTCTGCTGACTAATGCTGGTCTGAGTCTTGTTCCTTTGTAAGTAACTTATTTTTTCTTACTAGAAACTTTTAGGACTCTCTCTTTTCCCTTGGAGTTCTGAAATTTCACTTGTATGTGTCCACTTGTGAGTCTTCTTTACTCATTTTGCTGAGCATTCTATGGGTTCTTTCAGATGAAGACTCATAACTCTCTTCAACTCTAGGAAATTTTTTTCTTATTATTTTATAATTTCTTCCCTTGTGTTGTCTTTTTTCTTTTGTCCTTCTGAAACTCCTACTAGATGAATGTTGAACTTCTGTATCTTTCCCCATATCTTTTAACATTTGTCTCATATTTTCTAGCTTTGTCTTTTTACTCTACCTTCTTGGGAATAGCCCTCGATTTATGTTCTCACTCACCAACGTGCTCTTCAGACATGCTCATTCATTTTGTAATTCTGGATGTCCATTACCTTTCTTTATTTCAATGTAGTATTTAAACTTTTCAGAACATTTTCTTGTTCAAATTCCTCTTTTTTTCTCCCCACAATAGCCAGTATTTATTTTATGGATACAATGTGTTTTCTTTCTTTTTCTTTTTTTGGTGGGTGAGAAGAGGGAGAATAACAATTAGAATTTTTACATTTGTTTCTGTTCCCTCTATGGCATGTTGTCCTATTTGGTCAACTTGGCTTTTCTCTTCCATGAGGTTGGTTTTCCTACTTTGTCCGGTAGTCACTGGTTGCCAGACTTGCGAATAGAGAACGAGGTGGTTTTGTGTAAACCAGGATCGTTTCCTCTGCAGTTGTGTCAATGTGTTTCACCAACAGACCTCTCCCTCAAAAGGGAGGCCCTTTCTGTTTCCCATTTGTCACCATCCAACAGGCTATGTAATTTATTTATTTATCAACTGCCCTCTTAGGACAGAGATTTTTCTTTTCTCTGCTGCTGGCATACTGCACACTGTAGAAGCCCGATAGTCTTTTCTGATTGATTGATTGAATGAATGAATGAATGCATGCATGCTTTTGTAAGCAGGCAGGTGAACTGACTGGCAGCCCTCTCTGAAGGGTGTGCATGGGGAGCTGTCAGGTAGCTGGGAGTCCCCCACAAGTCTATGGCTAGGAAGGCTTCACTCTGGGAGGGGTTCCTTCCTGGACATAGCTGCCTCTCCTCTCCGTTTCTCCCACACTGTGTCTGGTGAGGGGTCTGAAGGTGCCTCTGTTTCTGCATGGCTTCTGTCTCAGCTCCTGGCCTCACTGGAGCTTCTTCCTAGGAAAGTTTTCATTGACAGGGGGCTGGCAGTTGCTTCTTTCCTGGGAAACTGCAGGGAGGGGCGACGTGCTCTCCGTCTGCTCTACCTGTTCCAGTCTGTTCTGAAGGCAGTTCTTTCAGGAGATGCCCCTTACCTTACCTCTGGTGTCTCAGGCAACAGCTTTTTTTGTGGTCATTTCTCCACCAGGCTGTCTTTTTTCTGTATTTTGGCAATTCTTCAAGGTAATGGCCCTCTGTTTTGTTTTGTTTTTCTTGCACTGTGAGAGTTCCAGTCATTTAAAAATGGTATCTTTTCTTCATGCCAGGGGCCAACTTTGGGTGCAAGGGGAACAGGCAGGTGCATGTGTGTATCTCTTGTTTTGATCTGGGGGTCTCCAGTGGGTTTGCTACTCTGAATGGTGATTATATTCCAAAAGTTATCTTTGAAGAATTCTAATTTATAGATGACCTGAAATAATATGACTACATCAGTAGTGCCTACATGCTAGTCGACAGTAAAGTGTTTTTATCCGTTCATAGGAAAAGGGACAAAATAAAATAATTCTGAGATCGGGCGCCTGGGTGGCTCAGTTGGTTAAGCGACTGCCTTCGGCTCAGGTCATGATCCTGGAGTCCCGGGATCGAGTCCCGCATCGGGCTTCCTGCTCGGCAGGGAGTCTGCTTCATCCTCTGACCCTATCCCCTCTCAGGTGTTCTCTCTCTCTCATTCTCTCTCTCTCAAATAAATAAATAAAATCTTTAAAAATAATAATAATAATTCTGAGATCATGTCCTTTCTACATTTCTCCTAATGTTAAAATGTCTTTTTCTCAAAAACACAAAAAAACAAAACCCACACGCACACACGCACAAAAAAACTGCTAATGATAACATATGGTGGTGGGATTTTACTCAACGTTCTTACATAACAACGTTGGTAATCCTGGGTCAGGATTTTTTGTTTTAGTTTTTCTTTTACAGGTATGCAAAATTCGTAAGTCTGGGCTGCTGGACTGAATTATTCTTAGTTTGATTTGACTAAGTTTTTCTTTTAGTATATAAAAAACATCTGTGTTTAATTTGGGGCTGGGAGTTCAGTAAATAAATCTTTACAAGCATTAATGGTTACTTCTTTTTTGCATAATAAGGCTTTTGCAGATATGCTGAAAGTAAATAAGACCTTGAAAAGCCTCAACATCGAATCCAATTTTATCACTGGGTCCGGGATCCTGGCCCTGGTGGAGGCACTGAGAGAGAATGACACCCTGACGGAGATCAAGATCGACAACCAGGTGTGACTCACAGGGTGCATGTGAAGAGGGGGCCACAAGGCAGTGAGTTTAAAGCCAAGTTCTATGACTCGATTCGATGTTCCGGCTTTCCTGTAAGTTACAACAGCTGCTGGCCTGTGGAGGGGATATGGGAGTGCATGTCGGTAACCAGACGCGATGCACAGTGAGGCAGCCCAAGACGGAAAGGGCCAGCTCCCCACCAGCCCTCAGCTAGTCAGGTACTGGGGCAGAGAGGAGGGGTGCCGAAGGTGTTGAGGGCTACTTTGTGCAGCCATCGTCATCCTTGCCTCCTAGCAGGAACCACAGCCAGTCCTGTCCCAGCCTTGCTGTTGCCTCTCACTGGGACTAGGGCTTCGAGGAGAAAGCGGGCTGGCCATGCCCAGAGACAGACTCCTTGCTCTTGGTTGGAGGTTGCCAGAGCTGAAAAAAAATTGAGCAAAACTAGACTCCCGCAGTCTGCGCCTGGCCACAGAGCCTGTTTAGAGGAATCCAGGTTCTAGAAGATGGTCTGGCTTAGAGAAGCAGGCCACACCCATAGTGCGATCACGGTCTCAGCTCTGTTGCGGTGTTTCTTAGCTTCCCATCAACAGCCAAAGCAAGCGGCTTGTCTCTAGGGCCACATCTTCCTGTACCCTGAAGGCCTTTTCCCAGCATCCGCCTGCCGTGTTTCCAGTGGCTCTGCTGGCTTCAGCTGGCTCCTGCTGTTGGACAGCAAGCCTCAGTTCTCAGCATAGTGCTGTGCCCTGCCCCTTTCAGTACAGGGAACTGTCTGCCATGGGACTCAGTGAGTCTCAGAGGCCTAGACACTGTCTAGTGGGAAGAAAGGGCCCTGCAAGGGCCCAGAAAGAGGAGACAACACAGAGCCTTGTGCTGTGAGCATTCTCCTATTAGGGGTGGGGGTGGCAGGGACAGTGGGGAGAGTGCCCGCTGAGAGTGCCCCCTGCATGTCTGGAAATTCCCTAGTCTAAACCCTCCAAGAGCTGATAGAGCCCCGGGATTCTACCCAGGACTTTTGCTTAAGTATGGAAACCCCCAACAGGTCCCATGAACAGCTCTACTATCCTTTTTTGCTACTTAGGACACGTGAGCTCCTTCAGGGCAGGTCCTCTGCCCCTCGACTCCTCCAGAGGCTTGCTGCCAGGGGAACAGGGGAAGCTACAGAAGACAGGTGCTCCTTTATTCTCACCCTCCCCAGAAAGGATGCATCACCAAAGCAGCTTTCCCAAATGAAGATATGTGAAGGGGATATACACACCCAGCCGTACACTCTCAGGAAGCTGGATGCCGTGTATCCTGGTGTGTGTCCAGCTGCTAGTAAATTTAAAAAGAGGCATCAGGGAGTGGGAGAGTAGGAAAATGAGCTAGAGAGAAATATGAACTGAAAGAAAAGAAGTGATAGCTCAGGAATATTTATCAGTTGAACTAGTATTAGGCAGTAGTTAAGTGAGCTCTTAGCATATTATTTCCAGGACATCTACGACAGAAGTGGATACCTTATTCCAAAGTGTATTTAACTTCTCATGTTGGTTTAGGCCATTATGAAACCCCGTATCTGAAGTAATGTTCCAGAAACTATGTTCCTGGTTCCTTGTAAGATACCACCTGGTTAGGATTGCCAGATAAAATACAGTTAAATTTGAATTTCAGATAAACAACAAATAACTTTTAGTATAAGTATGTACCATGAAATATTTGGGACATACTATACTAAAATATATTTTTTTCTTTTTATTTATTGATATTATTTATTTTTATTAATCAAAATTCAAATTTAACTAGGTGTCCTGTATTTTTATTTGCTAAATCTGGCAACCCTACATCAAATGAGTGAGATGGAAACCTGAACGTTGAGATGAGAGCAGCTTTTCCTAATGCATGTGAAGAAGACCCTGAAATACAAATCCTGAATTTGCTCTCTTAAATCCCCTTACATCAACCTTATCACCCCTTTTCAGTCATCTAGAATGGAATGGTGTAGTTTTCCCACTTTATTCCCCAATATGCCTCTGAAATAGCTTCTTTACACTTCTGACAAGAGGATTGAGACTTTCTAGAGCAACCGGAAAAATTCCTTGCTTTATTCCAAGAAAGAGGAAATTCAGAGTCAGAACTTGATTTCCATCCAAATTCTGCTTATCGACTCATAGCCTATTAGAAGTAGACCTCAGTTTCCTCGTCTGTGTAATGAAGGGTTTGAAATAAAATAATCTGCAAGACCGTTTCCTCAGGCAGGGCCAGCAGCTGAGACCAATTTAGCACCCTTGGGGCAGGCAGCCGCGCCAAAGTGAAGGCCTGCTGAGAGCCCATCACTGGGGCAGGCTGCTGTGGCTAGGCTCTGGGTAAATAGGTAATGATTTAATCAGATGCCCCGTGTGAGAAGGACAATCGGTGATGCATATTAATGAAACAGATGGGTAACTGCTAAATAAATTTGAGTAAACAAAAAAGGTCATTAAAAAAACAGAAGAAATGTATGCTTAAACTTTGATTTTTCTTTTTCATTTGTATTTAGTGACTTATAAAAGGGAAACAGACAAATTATAAGAAATTTTGGCCTACATTTGTTGCCCTGGGTTTATATGACACAGAAGACCTCAAATAAAAAGACTCAGGCTGAGAAAGAAAGGTGCCCTGTGTTACATTACTTTCTCCCTTTCTTTTCTATGCTCCTTCCCAATATAATTTTCTGCAGCTCCTACATCCCTTATATAGCCATCAGCATGCCCATCCTGCATGTTACCCAGGCGCAGGACTCCAAAGGCGTGAGATTTGTGAGGGGAAGTAAAGGGACTTTTATGTCATCCCTCCCCATCAGCCACAACCTCATGAGCTCCTTCTGCCCTTGGATAGCACCAGGGGCATAAGGCATAGCTATGGCAGCCCCAGCCTTAGCTCAATCTCAATCTTTAGTACAGCCCACTGTTCTAAAGCATGTCGTGAGCTAAAGTTGTTCATGGAACTGTGAGGTCAGGATCTCTTTTCTCTGCCTCTCCCTCCCATTAGCTTAGAACACTGATTTCTACACTGGATACCCAGAGTTGTTATTGTCTAACTGGAAATACCACATTTTGTTAATTTCTTGGGGAGAGACTGGTTTGACAGGTTGCTGAGTGAAAAGAAAGAAAAGGAGCAAAGAATTAGACCTTAGGCCTTGCATAGAACATAAAAGTTTCTCTCTAAATTTTCTCCTCCACCTGCTCAATACTTACATTTTCCAAATTTAAAAGGTGTATTTTTAAAATATAATAAAGCAATCAGAATTGCATGATGCTGGCATAGAAATAGACTTGGCAGAACAGTGGATTCCAGAAACAGATCCAAGTACACCTGAGAAATTTGTAGCAAAGTACCTCCTTGAGGAAAGGATAAAGTAAAAGATAGTGGGACAATTTCACTAGCATTTTGGAACAAGATTAAGTTGGGGCTCTATCTTGATTCTTATACTAAAATTCACTCCAGATGAAATGAAGATTTAAATATGAAAATATATGAAATCATAAAATGGAAGAAATCAGAAGGATTTCTGATAGAAGAAATCAGAAGAGCCTTCCTAAACATGATATAAAATCTAGATTGATATAAATTTAGCCACATGAAAATGAAAAGAGAATCAGAAAGTCAAAAGACAAACTGAACAAAGTATTTTCAACACATTTGACAAAAGGCTAATTTCCTAATATATAAGAAACTTACAAATTAAAAAAAAAAAGGAACCATGGGCTGTTTAAAAAAAATATACAAATGACAGAGATTGGTAGTTTCCAAAAAGAGAAATACAGACGCATAAGAAAATTAATTGTTCTTATTCATAATTTGAGAAATGCAAATTAAAGCAATTAAATAAATAGAAGTGAAATATAAATCTTCACCAATTAGAATGACAAACGGGGAAAAGATTGATAATATCCTATGTTGGCCAGGGTAGGGAAAATAGTAAATCTCAAACACTGTTAGTAGGAGTAAAAAACTCATACTTTTGAGGGTAAGTGAGTAATGTATCAAAATTTGAAACATGCTTACTCTTGGGCCCAGCCCTAATTTGCCCTACCGGCACACTTGCAGAAATGTCCTAGGATATACTGTGTGTGCGAGGGAAATTCACCGCAGCAGCGTTGTTTGGAATAGTAGAAATGGAAAAGGTGTTCTTAATGTTAAATGAGAAATAAAAATGTTTCAGAACAATATGCTGGTATAATCCATTTATGTGAAAAAGCATACATGTACATATGATTAGGTATACATATGAATGCATAGAAAATGTTTTAAAAGACTACATATCATATGCCAAACTGGCTTTCTCTATGGGGAATGGAAATACTGGGGGAAGGGAGCTTTTGTATTTTATACACTTTTTATGTGCTTTTTCTAAATAAGCCTATACTTTTTTTAAAGATTTTTTTTTTTAATTTATTTGACAGAGAGAGAGACAGCAAGAGAGGGAACACAAGCAGGGGGAGTAGGAGAGGGAGAAGCAGGCTTCCCACTGAGCAGAGAGCCCAATGTGGGGCTCGATCCCAGGACCCTGGGATCATGACCTGAGCCAAAGGCAGACGCTTAACGACTGAGCCACCCAGGCGCCCCAAGCCTATACTTTTTAAGTTAAAAATTTTTAATAAATATATTATGGAAAAATTGAATTTTAATTTTTGTTAACTGTTAAATTTTGATTAATTTTAAATTCCTATATTTACATGCCCCTGTTTTTTTTTTATTCTGCTTTTAGTTTTTTTATTCTATGTCTCAGCTTAAAAAACAAACAAAAAAACCAAGAAACCTCTTTTCACCCACTTAAAAAACTTGGGGATTTTTCTACAGCCCAATAACACCCTTCAGGGTTTGATAATTATCCTGGCCATGGTTCAAACCACAATGAAGTTTCTTTGGGATCTCCTACTGAGAATCTGCTGAGAAAGAATGGCCAGCTGGTTGATGACCTTTAATTATTTTGGAAATGGATCCCAGAATAGAAAATTCAGTAATTGGATTGATTGCTATAAGACAGTTTCACTACTTAAAAACACCCTTTGTTTAAACCATAGAAACTGGGGTAAATTGGAAGCACCGGATATTAGTTTTGCTTTAATTTTACATGTGGAATCATCTTTTCCTTCATAAATAATTGGCTTAGTCTTTTCAGTTTAGCATGCCAACAGACTTGGCTGTCTGTTGGATTTTGCTTCTAGACAAGGAGCAGGTCTCAAGTGACTATATGGGAGAAAATATCTCAAGTGACTTTATTCCTTTCAATGTGAGACTTTTACCCCTTTACGTTTTTGTCCAGCAAGTAGCTATGCATCTCTCCCATGCAAGTAACTGTTTCCTCTTTCTTCTTGGTCGTCCTGTTATGTGTCCGCACCTGTAACCAGAGACAGCAGCTGGGAACTGCTGTGGAGATGGAAATTGCCCAGATGCTCGAGGAGAATTCAAGGATCCTCAAGTTTGGATATCAGTTTACCAAGCAAGGGCCTCGAACAAGGGTGGCAGCCGCCATCACAAAGAATAATGACCTAGGTAACGCAGCCCTAATGTGTGCTGTTAGCAATTAGAAGAGTACGGTGACTATTTCTCCACCTCAGATGCAATATCTCACAGACATCATTCCACTGGCCTTTGGTGTCAGCACTTGATCAAATGCACATTATTACGTTATCCTGGGAATTCTCATCAGCTTTGCGGTGTTTCAATTTTATTGTAGCATTCTCTCAAGAAGAACTATTTGTTCTTCTTTTCCAGACAGGCTTTGATTTTTGCTTGGTTTCCTTTCTGTATTTGGTTCTCCTTTACTTCTTACATGTAGCCACCCTGTGTTGTTATCTGCACCAGAAGATGGATACAGTGACATGGAAATTCCCAGTTCACTTATGTTTGACCCCTGGCTGTGCTTTTGCACTTGGGTATAAATGCAGTTATGTCTGATACTTTGGTGATTTCCACGTGAAGTAAACTAATGGAGCTATGTTATAAAGATTAAACTTAGAAGTAGCTTTTTCAGTTAGCCCCTCTTTAGTTTTTCCTGCTGCCTACTCTTTGCTGAGGATCCATAATATTTCTTCTGTTAGGATGAGAGGGGGCATATCCTGGTCAACCACAGCACAGAAGAATGGGACAGATATGGAAGGCTTGGTCTGGGCACAGCTCAGTCACCTGAAGCAGCATGGCAACAGGACATCCAAGAGTCGACAGTCACTTGGCAAGCAGCCAGCCAATAGCAGCACTCGGTCCCCAGTTTGAGGTTTGGGGACAGAAAGCCAGACCTTGGCTGGGAGAACTGGGCACAGTGTTCTGCCAAGTAGAGTGCTGGCCATGGGGAGGATTCAGATCATAGACAAGACAGAAACCAAGAGTTGGAACCGGAAGGGGCAGGCAAAGATTAGTGTCCCTCTCCCTGCCCAGGCGTGCTCAGCCAAGCTGCTGAGGCCCGGGCCAGGTAGGTTGTGTGACCTCCAGAGGCTGGCCAGGCATATGGCAGTGCTTGCCATTGGGATGTAGAGGATGAGGCTAAGGGGGCAGCCCTGCACACAGGGCTTTGGGGAAGGGTGGAGGCAGCAGTCAGCACCGAGAACTGCAGGGAGTCCACAGCTGAACAACATGGAGACCAAAGAGAAACAGGCAAAAGAAAAGGCTTGAAGTAAATGGAAAAACGATCATGAGCCCAGAAGTGGCAGCTGTGGGCAATAGCTTTTGTCTCATTTTCTGCAGGCTGGGCTATTTAAAGTGGAGAGTTAGGGCAGGACCACAGCCTGGGCACCTTTTTGCCAAATCCAGGAAGGTTAGAGTAACCCTCTTCCTACCCACCAGACAGGCCTGCGGTGGGGAGGTGAAAGGGGGAAATGGGTTGCAGAAACTGAGAATGGGCCATCAGAGCAACTTTTTGATACTAAGTACCCACTTAAGGGAACCTTAATCTCTGAGTTTGCCTGCCATCTGAATCACGCCTTCTTTGGAAGCTGATACTTGCCGGGGGCGGGGAGGTGGTTTGTATAAAACAGGTTTCGAAACTTTGAACATTTGTTTGCGGCTCCTCCTGGTGTTCAGGCCGTAAGCTGAATTCATAGATTGTACATGTGTCGTCCTGGGGAGTTAAAGCCAGGTGGGGATCAGGTTGCACAGAGGCTGTGGGTATGTGACCATGGAAATACTCAGGACTTCACTGTTTCACGGGTCTATTCTGGACCTGCCACTCCATAGAAATTTCTAACATTCAAGTTCTCAAATATCAGACGTGACTTTATTTAAAATGTAAATTCCGCAAAACACTAGGTTATGATATCATTTCCATTTATAGCATGTACTGGGTAATTGAGTATTGAAATTTAAGATAACTATATCCTTAAACGTGTGAGATTGCTGTTCAGTGTGATTAATGTTGTTGCTCTGGAATTTAAGCACCATTCCTTCAATTTACCTTTTTTCTTTCCTGTCTTTATTTCTCACCTAGTTCGTAAAAAGCGAGTTGAAGGAGACCGAAGGTAAACTTTCGCAAGACGAGGCTGAGTTGCACCCTGGTGGCCATTTAGAAATAAGCAAGCAAAAACCCTTCTCCTTCCCCATCAGGACCATTTTATTCAAGGTTGTGCATTTCCGTTAACCACCTGGCTAATAATTTAATCGTTGTTCTTTTTTAGCACTACTTATTTATCTTGGATTTTTTAAGATATACAATTGTCTCATTTGCTCACGGGCACCTCTGGCAACTCGCACCAATGGACCTCAGCAGAGCTTTAGTAGGTAACAGCGATCGAAAATTACTTAACCACTTTCAGATTGGGTTGCCTGGCTTTCTTACATGAACTTTTCTTTTTTTTTTAAATCACTGAAAGGAATTTAGTATATACATGTATTTGTAACTGTGATCACGATAGAGGCCTATCTCTGTTTACATGCATAGCTTTGAGTTAGGCTAAATACATCAGAAGTACTCTTCTGACCACATAAGAAGTTAGTATTGCCAATCTTTCACTGGGTGAGAAAATGTGACCAACTTGGCGCAAATTCTCCCCCAGTTCCAGAAGAATCACTAAATGCACATGTCCCACTGTTGGAAGATCAGTGGTATCATTTTCCTGAAAGCAAGGCAGCATCATGATACTTTAACACAGCATCAGCAAATAAGTCTGAAATAGTAACCCATGAATAGTCTTCAAGGTAGACTTACAGGCAGCAAAATTAATTAGCACACTTACCTTTATTGATTATTCAACATAAATCGATCTTTAACATGACTCTAATAAATAAAACTTTTTACAAAGCTGTTTTAAACTTTTCCAGACATGATGGGAAATTTTTAAATTTTAGAAAGAGGGCGGCTTTTAAGACAGTACATTCCTCAATAAAACAATAATAATTACACCTTAGTCAGAGTTGTCTGATACATATGATTGCATCATTTTGGCAAATTTTATTTTTATTTATTTATTTTTTAAAGATTTTATTTATTTATTTGACAGAGAGAGAGAGAGACAGCAAGAGAGGGAACACAAGCAGGGGGAGTGGGAGAGGGAGAAGCAGGCTTCCCGCAGAGCAGGGAGCCCAATGCGGGGCTCGATCCCAGGACCCCGGGATCATGAACTGAGCTGATGGCAGTCGCTTAACAACTGAGTCACCCAGGCACCCCTTTCTGGCAAATTTTAGAGGCATTTATTGCTTTATCTTTAGTGTGACAAGATCACAGAATGAAATGTGAATGTTCAAGTTATTTATACAAACATTTGTCCATATGGCATGATCTATCCAGAGCTTTGCAGACATCAGGAAAGAAGTGTGAATTATCGCTTCTCCAGATGTGTGTCATCTCAAGGACAAAGCCTGTGAATGTACAACTGAGGTGATTGCGTGGTTGTGTGCAATAACTTTTCATCTAGCAGAGCAACAGTGTGATGCTAAGCTAAGGAAACACAGGACTACAGTCTTTGGCTCAAGCTCACATGCCTTTGATGACAGTCAGTGCCTGAGGCTATCATTGGCACCCTGACCCTGCCTCAGGCACCTCTCCCTCTCTCCCTTTCTTCTCTCTTCTCCCCTCCTTCCCTTCCAGCTCTTTCTCTTTTTTCTTCTTTTGTCTGAAATTCTGAGCCTTGGAAAGGCGACATCCCTTGTGCTGGTGACACCTGGAGCTAAAGAGATTGCTGACTCAGCAGAAGATGGGCCCAAGTCCGAATTTGTTTAGTTACTGAGTGTTCCTGAGTTGCTCGATAGTAGTAAAACAAGCTAATGGGAAAACAATGAGTGCATTATTCTAGTTAGCTTGTAAAACACATAGAATCTGGTTAGGAGAGATAACCTTCATAAAATTGGACATTTACCTGTATTATAAGAACTCACATCTGTATCACTAAACTCCTTTGAAACTTCTCATTTTCTTGACAATATTTTACATTATTTGAGGGAATAATGAGCAGAATATGTTGATATATTTGGAATTCTAAAAATCCTTTAATTAGCTTTTGACTATATCTCTCTCTATAAAAACATAGTAAATATCATTTGATGGTTTTCAGTTTGATTTTTCCTTCCCTCTTACTCATTTAGGTGTGGTATGTTGGAGCCAACTCATACAGGCTTACCAATTATTAAATTTTCAAGAATTTTGCAAATTCGTTGTTAAACACAGCCATTATTAAAAATTAAATGGCATGCACTTACAATTAGATTATTTTAAAAAACAAAAATAATACTCAAAACTACCTTTTAATTTTCTTTGCTCTTGAGATTATTCAGATCTATTTTGTCTGTATGACAGAAATACTGTATAATGATGTGCTGTTGTGCATCTCTTCCCAACTCAGAAGTTTAGGACTTCTTGTTGGTAGTTTGAACTTGGCCGCGGTGAGAGTACTTATACTATGGAAATTAGCAAATGTTACAAATCAGGACATGTTCCCCCCTACTTTGCTGGTTGATAAACATTCATCAGCACACCCTATACACAGTTCTTTTTTTTTGTATACATGTTTTGGTTACCATGTTGCCAAAAGGAAGAACCTTTCTCTTAAGTGTCTTTCTCCTATTCCTTTAGATTTGTTGCAGATATATTGTAAGTGCTGAGTCCCTGACTTGCCCTCCAAGTAAGACTTTTTCCTTTCTTTCCTCATTCACTCTCTTTCTTGCCTTCACCTCTAAGAAATCTTGTATCCTGCAGAGTGTTCCCTGTAGCCCCAAGGACTGGGGGCTAAAGCAGTTCCTGATAAACTCTGGCAGAAAGCAAGAAAGAAAAGAATTTGATGGTGACTGTGCTGTGGTTGTTGATAGTATTAAAGCAAAATAGTGGGCTATTAACAAAATTTAGCCCTGTTTTTAGCTTGTGAAATAGTTGGGTCACATGTAATAGAGTTTATAAAATCAAATATTTATTACTAATCACTTTATCTTATCATTACTTGTTTTTTTGAAGTAGCTTGAAAGGTGACATTTCCATGAGTATTCACATATTAAAGATAACTATTAGAAGATAAACTTACATTTTGGGGACCCTATAAATCATTGAGTTAGCCCAGGACTTCATTTCCCCATTTGCCCAAAGTGTGTAAGTAAAGCTTTTTCGTACTCCTGCACATGATTAATCCCTTACCATCCATCATGGTGGGGCATAATGTATATAAAATATTTTTATATGTATGCATTTTGCCAAGTACTACATTTTGAGGTATTTGGCAACATCTGGACAACTGATTGAAGGGAGATAATCTCTCCTCAGACCACTTCCTTCCCCCTTTTAGACTTGCACAGGCCCAGGCTAGTGTCAGATCACACATCAGGACGTGCAGGCTCTTATCACCAACACCCATCCCAGCATATGTGGAAGACGACTTTTTAAGAGAGAATTTTGGAAGTCTAGAGATTATATAATTAGTCCAGCACTACATCTCCCCATCTGCCTGAAGCGTGTAATGGAAGCTATTTTATCCTCATTAACACAATTAAATCCTTTCCTTTCATCTTGATAGGGCATAATGTAAATAAATGTGTGTGTGTGTGTGTGTGTGTGCGCACACGTGCGCACGCCGTGCACGTGTGTGGCCAAATATCTAATTATCTAATGAGGTATGTGGCTACATCTGGACCACTGATTGAAGGGAGATGCACTCTCCCCAGCTCCATTTCCCTTGTCCTTTTTTAGCATTGCTGCAGGCCCAGGTTCAGTGCAAATCACTTCCTGGAGTTGGCAGCTTAGGTTACCAACCACCAAATTTCACAGCATGTATAGAAGATAACTCTTAGGGAATAATTATTAGAAGCCTGCAAATCATTTTATTGTTCCAGCACTAAACTCTTCATGTGCCTGAAGTGTGTAAGTGCAAGCACGTTCATCTTCATCAACACGATTACGCCCCTTCCTTCCATCTTAGTAGGGTATGTTGTATATAAATATTTTGTACATAAAGATCACCAAATACTATAAGTGGTATTTGGCTAAAGCTGGATGACGGATTGAAGGGAGATGCTGTCTCCTGGTCCCTCTTCCCTTACCCCTCTTGGAGCTGCTGCGGACCTAGGTTGGACAATCACCAGCCTGGAGGGGCACGTGCAGCTCACCCATCTTAGACCACCAGTTCATCTTACAATAAAAGCCCATCTCCATTTAAAAACTCAGAAATCATCCCAATGCCTATACTACTCAGAACAATTTCCCTAAGGGAAGCTTGGTACACTAAACCAAAAGAAGAGCTACTTCTCTTCCAGGCAGAAATGTGGCCCTGGCAGGGCACCAACATTAGGGAAACCAGCGTGCTCTGAAAAACTACCATGAGAACATTTCGGACACTCAAACTTGAAACCGGCGTGAAGCATCAGCATGCTTTAAATGTGGGATAGCCATTTAAATTTACAAAACAGTTTGCAGATACTTCCTTTTTTCAGGGATATGATGTACTTTGCCCTCTCCCAGGCAGTGTAAAGGAGACAGAGAAAGTGTAAGAATTCTGGATTAATACAATTTGATATGTGTTTCTGGGTTTGGGGGGTAGAGTGCCTTTTTGCAAAGTGGATACCATCTTTTTAGTTCAAGTTTTGATAGCATCAGCGGAAGTGGGCAGGGGGCAGTAAGTTATGAATACTGCGTTCTATGGTATGTTACCTTTACTGAGTTGGAATTGTTTCTGGTGTCAGCTTTTAAGTCATGATCCTGAAGCTTCCTTCCACTCTTCCACTAATGATGCAATAATAGCTATTTTCATTTTAATGAGCAGAGAACAAAAAAGAAATGTTTTAGCTCTGCCTTCCTATAGCAGGTTCCCCTTATTGCTCCTCACTTCAAATATCTCTGCCACTTAACGGACCATCCTCAAAGCTAAAGGATTGGGGCACATGCAAAGGCAAGGTGTGAGAACGCTTGGCAGCATCAGGCTGAGCCCTCTGGATGAAAATCACATGATCGGGCCTCCTGGGAACAAGCTTGAGAGAGAAGAGTACCCAGAACCTCAAGATGGATTTATTGTTTTCTTGCTCCCAACTCTAGATTAGATCGAATTTTGTTTTGTTGTTCAGAAGTTATTAAGTGGAGGGGCTGAGTGAGGCGGGGAAGAAGATGGAAATTAAAGGTCTCCATTTGCTTAAGGGGAGAAGTAAACTCTGCTCAGCTCACCACCGCCTTCCCATCTGCCCATAACAGTAGTGATTAAACATCCAGGAGATGGATGGAGGAGGTGTTAAAAAGTTTAAATTTGTAACCTGGATCTGGGTACTGTTCTAGGAAGGCCATACACTTAGCAGAAGTTGTCCCAGTTTTGTAATGCATCATTGACTTGGGAGAGGGTGAAGGAGGCTGGACTTTTCTCTGACATCTTCCATGGTAGTCATTTTGAGCACACCGGCTCTGCTAGTTGGTATGGTGGAAGGGCACCATGCTAACTGACTCGTAGGCTGACTCCTAATCCCATCACCAACACTTAGCAGGTATATGATCATGGGCAATTCATTCAATTGCCTGACAATTATAGACTACATAGGGGGAAGAGCACTGGATTTGGAGTCAAGACATCTGGACACTTGGCTCCACACTATCTTAGCTGGGTGACTTTGGGGCAAGCCACTTAGTCTCTCAAGCCTAAGATTCTTCAGCTATATTATAATGGGAATAATAGCTTCACTAACTACCTCACAGATTTGTGGTGAGAAAATAATCAGATAATGGGATGAAAACTCTACAGTGGAAAGGGCTATACAAAAGTGGGACATCATTTTCATCATCTATTCACTAATGTTTTCCACTGCCTCTTCAATCTGTTTTATTTTCTTCTGACCACTGAGTATGAGCAATCACAGCATGGGTATGATGTAGGGGACTGGAATTATTTCATTTCTAACACAGAGACGGGAGAGGTAGTTGATGGGTGGGTGGGTGTTATATACCAGTGAT